TTCACAATTTTGTTGGGTGTCATTCTTTCTTCCCTGGCTTTTCTCCCAACTCGGGTTATTCGTAAATTGATAGATTGAGTTTAGGACTGGGAAGGGACAAATATGCGATCAAGGCGATGAATCAATGGATATCGATATATCTAGCTGGGAGGGAGATTTCTTAAGTCACCCTTGCCATCCTTGATCCAAGCCGGGTCGACCAGCCGTTCTCTCTCAGCGTAGAGTTGCTTGTAAGCTCCCCGGATTGTCCCGTCGCTGACATGAGCAACGCTAGAGATCTCTTTGGCAGTTTTTCCCTGTCCCATCAGGAAGGACGCCATGTAGATGGAAGCGGCCACAATCGAGAGTGGAGAGCGACCGGCAAGCTCACCGGTGGATGTAACCCGGTCAGCCAACGCAGACGACACGTTGGTGACTTGGAATGGAAGATCGAGAAGATTGCAAAACCGGTTGCAGAGATCGCTGGGTTTTGTTGATGTTGTGGCTGTATACGTCTCATTGGGGTCCGGAACACCTATAATTTTCAGAGGGTTAGAATTAGAATAGTCAACAGTGCAAATGAGTTTTTGTGGTGGTCTGAGCTTACCACCACTCGAGACTACGGAATTGATTCGCTCCAAGTTTTGAGCAGTGAAAAATTTCTCAAGAGCTTTGTAGATCCGCCCGATTTCCTTTTTGGTAACGCGTGTCACGGCAAATATCTCAGTGAAAGTTCGAGGAACTTTGCACTGCCGACAAGCAATGAATATGCACCCCGCGATGATCACATCCTGTGACTTGCCTTTGAATGCCTTTGCATCGTCCACTATCTTAAACAGATATTTGGCAGTGTCCGCCACATTTTTAGGGATATTAAATCCATCACAAAGTGCACCTATTTCCTTATAGGCCGCCAGCAAAGCCTTGTTGGTCTTCTCACTGGACATTTTATTTTGAGCCCGGTGCAACTCGCGGCTTCGAGATCCTCCAGCACCATATGAGATTTGGGTCTCAAGCTGGTTGCCATTCAGCAGCGGATTCGCTGCATCTCCAACACGGGAAGGATCATCGTTATTTTGGTCATCATTCGAGAACGTACGCCATTCTGAGTGCTGATCAATCTCTCTATCTGCCAATACGAGGCCGCAGCTCCCACAAATGGTCTCGTGGGAATCTGGGGTTACGAGATTGGGAGGAGTTTCCCTGCACTCGGGGCAAATCAAGTGAGCGGCGAGGTTTTCTTTCCACAATGTACCAGGTTCATTTCGATTCGCAGTCCCCAGAACGGTCATTTTCTTTCCCTTGGTAATTTTTTTTCCACTCAGTCGGTCGCTCTGGCGCCTTCTAATGGTTTTATAAGTAGCTGTGAGATTATGTTGCGATGCGTAAACACGTATAAACAACGGCGAATACAGTTTGGCGACTGCAATAGATCAAGGGCGCGATTGCCCAGAGAGCTCGAGGAAAGAAGAAAAAGTGGACAAATGGCAAAATCTTTATCCAGATCTTGACACCTAGAAGAATGCGTCCACTATCACTTCACGATCACGTTAGCTTTTCATAAACGAACGTATCTTTACTGATGCTGATTCAGATATCATAATATTTGCAAGGCAGGCAGAGGTAGACATGAGTGTGGATGGCATTTTTTGACTTCATAAAAGAAGCAGCTGGATGCGGACAGCCACGCAACCCTCAATGTAGCAAATCTTTCTCAGATTTACCTTTCACGAAACTGCTAAGAACTGTTCAAACCGCACAGAACAGTGCTCAAGCTCTCCGGCGCAAAAATCCCGGCGCTTCGAGATGAAGTCTTGAGGTACTCCAGCTGAGGCTTCCGTGGCGAGCCAGACTTCTAATAGTTCCCACGACGTTGAGTGAGGAGAAAGATCAGAGTTCACGACCGGTGTGGAAACGACGATTCCAGCTCTGGTTGATGCCCCAGAAACACTCCAGAAACACGTCCAAATCCAACTGCGATGTACTGGCACTTGTAGCAGGTGGATATCCAGGGACGGAGACTCAAGCGTGGAAGAATCAAAGGTGGTTGCGAGAGAGTTGTCGACTCTTGACCAGTGAAAGAGCAGCGAGGCCTCATTTAGGCAGATGGCGGCGAATATCACGTGATATACGATGAGTCAGCCAATTCATGCCAAACTCAATCCGGATCTTGACGAGAGCCAGCTGGGCATCAACGACGAACCTTTCCCGGGCAAAGCCACGATAAACAAAGTCTTGTCGTCTGCATCTTCCACATTCGCGATGATGTCTCAATCGCTTAGAGTATCGGTAAGAGTCATTGACGCCCCCATACTACTGCCATCGAGTTCCTGCTGACTGATCGCTCCGCAGCGTTGCCTCCTGGCCCGAATGGGTCGACAACCTCTAACAGCCGCTCGTCGCACTTTCATCGCTACCCCCATTAGACAAGGTATATACACATATATCTCTACAGTTACATAGAGGAACCCCAGCTTAGAGGCGGGTTGGGTATATACTTGATGGCTGACATGGAAAATTCTCGTACCTCTTTCCTAGCCGAGCTCGTGCAAGACATGTATCTCCGCGAGGTTCGTGCGTACAAGTTCCCGCCAAGTCAGCCCTCCGATGCCGATGCACACGTCCAGAAGTTCAGCGCTCCAAAGCCACCTCCATCCCCCGAGGAGGCCAACCTTGCCGCTGATCTTAAGGCATACGAGACACAGGAGGTTGAGGTGGAAGGTCAAGCGACTAGCAGCGAACCCGCCGTCGTCGAAGAGGATTGGTTTGAAGACGAAGACGAGGCGCCTGCTGCTCATTAAATTGGAGTACTCGCGGTGGAAGAGAGGAACAGCGAGCGCCCTTTTCAATAGACCTTGTGTATTTGTGAATGGACACCGAAAATCCTGTAAATCTATACATTTCAAAATATATATTTTGTTTCCTCGCCCGAATTTTTTATATGCTCCTTCTTATGAAATACCCCTGCTTGTGGGCTCAATGTGAGCTTGAACTGAACTTGCATTTTCAGAGCTTGGATTCCGTGTGCGCTGGTTTCTAGGGGAACTGTCGCACAGGACAGAATATCTCGACTCCAGAATTTATCTGGACGGATATTACCATTTCTATAGCCAGCATGCAACTACTCTGAATATGTACAAGGGACTTTGCCATACAGGCATAAGCTCGAAAAAGTTTAGATGGACATTGGAAGGAGGCTCAACTTTATTTGCGTGCATTGCTGGTCTTCCCGGACTCCGCCGCGACCGATGCGCTATCTAGAAACTACACAGAAGTAAATGTATGTACTGTACAGTCCAAGTACAGTACATGGTCCATGCATCGACAATGATACTCGGCGGCCATTTCACCCAGTTCACTTGGATACTAGTAGCGAACATAAAGTATCGATTAGAATCATGGCAAGATATATGATGCAAAGGGTGGCGGGAGGGAAAGAGAGAATAGCATCAAAACATGGATCGCTGTATTCGAAAATACAGAGTCGATACTTCATCAATCGCAACCAGTGTGCGGCAGGGCCCCGGATACTTTGTATGAAAGACATCAACCATATTTTGTAGCACGAACCCCAGCAGCCCAGCGAGCTCTAAACAAGGAAATCCAACACCGCTTCCAAGATTTGACTCCGTATGGCCGACCTTATTTCGCTCTGTCATCGTTGTCATTTGTTTTTCAGACTGTCAGCCACCTCTTCAAAGGAGTTCTGGGCCTGGCCTTGTTGGCCTTGTTTTCTTTTTGAGCCGGCCCGTCCGTTGAACATCCGCAGGTGGGATGCCAGCGCAGTGCTTCGTATCTGATCCGTATTCTCTCCGATCCAAATTTTTCTAATTATATAATCAGTGGTGCAAGAGCAACCGCTCGGGCATGATCATGCTTTAAGTTGAGAGCTGTATATTTATTTAAGCTTTGCGAAGTCCCAAGGAGCAATTGAGACAAAATCGGGGCCACCGGGCAAACAGTGCGCTGAGAGAAACAAAACCAAATGTCAGAAGCGACATCCGGTCTATAAATTGTATGGCGATTGTCACCAACTATGTTGAGGCGACGACCATCTTCCTCTCTGTCTCCTGTCTAAGCTTTCGTTTGTGTTGCGTTTAGTTCCAATTATTTGTTCGTTTTCACATCCTTTATTCCCGGCCCCTGTCTACAAGTACCCTGTAGATGAACATCCACCGCCATCGGTAGGCCGTCGGCGCACGGCGCAGGTAGGTTAGGTTGGTGGCGAAATATGTCGAAAACCAAGACACATCTGCGCTAAATAATAGTGTGGAGGAAGTAAAATTCGCTTGTCGAAGCAGCAAGATCAAAAAGTCAAGAACATGATGACGCTTAGTTAGGCTCACCTGTATCAAATCCTAAATTTAATGAATCCATAGTAGACACTTAGTTCGTTGCTAGTAGGCAGGCGGTGCTCGGCGGCTGAGGCTCAAACACGCCAAATGCCCACTTCGAATGCCTCACACATCCGGCGTTCTTTAAGCGGACTCAGCATGCTCTGCTGGCCCAGGGTGCGGACTGACGTGACTGACTGACTCCCTGTCAAGCCTGTTTCTGAGCCTGAGCCTGCTTCTGCTTCTGCTTCTCCTTCTTGTTCTTCCTCTCGTTTCTATTTCAACCTCGTTTTGCTCTTCTGTTGCCTCGCCCCTCGTTTGTCCCGTGTTCTTTTTCCCTTGTTCGCCGCCTGCCGCATATTCTTTATACTCTGGTTCTCTTTATCTACTGCCTGTAAGGGATCTTTGATACACGTCCACATCAGCCCTCTGGCTGCCCTTTCGTTAAATACTACTACTTTACTGCGTCGGCCCGCATGAGAATCGATCACCCCCATTTGACCCCCATCTCCCATGTAGGCTTCGAGGTTGTGAGTTTGAGTGGTACCGTACCCTCGTTCGCCTTCCGTGGTGAAAGTTGAACCAGAGCCAATATAACGGAAACTAATTTTTCCCTTCTTCTCTGTAGACCTTTTTACTTATCCAAGCTGTCTCTTCGTCTAGCCTTACCTACACATTTCCTTTCGAGCCTCCATCTTTTACCGTTTCCTGTTCCAGAAGCGCGCTTCCTTCCAATCGACCCCCCAAACAGGAAACCTCTCCTTGCGCCTTGCCAAAGCTGAATCCCGAATCCCGAATCCCGCCAATGGTTTTTAGCCTTATCGGTTTAAACAAGAAACCTTCTCGACAGAGAGCTGGCCTCTCCCCTGAAGCTGCATTCTGGACTTCTTGATCTTAATACATATACCTGCTCCGTTCAATTTGGCCTTGTTCTCCTTTTGAGAGCATGCCTAGCTCTGCCACGGAGGTTCAACATGACGCTACTCCTCCCTTCTCACGTTCCGCCAGCTATAACCACCTGCCTGCACGGGATTCCAACGTAGACCAATTGGATGTGAAAAGGCCTTTTTCAGAGACGAATCTACTGCAGTCATCCGAGAAGCAAGTGAAGGCGGATCAGGGTAGCTTTAGAACTGGCAGGAAAGTTCTACGCCACGCTTCTATCCGCTTAACAAATGGTAAACCAAAGGCAAAGGAGGTCATAACTTCATCTTTAGACGGAGATGACCAAGGCCCAACAAAATTGTCATCTCACAAAGTCACTGAGAAGTCCTTGCCAATTGAACGGCCTTCCAAATCACGCTCCGTGTCAAGCACAATTGCGACCTTAGCTCGCAAGCCATGGATCTCCTCACGATCTCCTTCTCCTTCAACACCCAGTGAAGTAAGAAGCAAGGGTGGAGCTTCTGCCAATACAATTCGCAATGGCACTTTAGGAAAAGATCCACATATCAAGACAGAGCATGCGTCTACCCAAGGGGTCTCCATTCGGGATATGCATCGGCGAAGGAGTGTTCTCGTCAAAGGCAGCTGGAAATCGGAAACCCCTGGAACCAAGCTAAAATCTGAAGATCCTGCTAGCTCCCAAAAACATCCGCCTATTCCCTCGCTACGCGGGAGAGCTTCATCGGACAGGCTCTTCGCCTCTTCCGCAGGGCCAAATGAAGATATTCCTCCTGTCCCAAGGAGGCGTACTGGCCAATTGCCCCAACTCAATGTAGACCCACCGCAAAAGAAGGACGAGCTTTGGTCCGTCTTTAGGGGTATCGATGCCGACTACCAAAAGTAAGTCATTCGGGCTAAGCGGAAACAGAATAATGTCAGCTAACAGAGTCTAGATTCTCTTCGAAAAGTAGTTCTCTCAAGGCCAACGTCCTTCGCTCATCCCTGCTTCCGTTTCTTTCACGCTACGCCAATCACCAATCCATCCAATTTCTCCGACCTGAAGACCTCGATAGACGTATAAATATCTTGAATAAATGGTGGACGGGGCTCCTCGAGGTCCTCAATGGGAGAACTAGCCAGTCTTTAAGCGGAGTCGATAGACCAGTATTTTTAGAAGCCATTGTTGGCATCATGACAAGGCCAGAATGGCGTATTCCAACCTTACATACTTCATCATCATCATCTTCGACACTTACGGCTCTCAACGTTCGAACCCCAATTTCCAGCTCTAACACATCCCTCGAATCAACCGGGACAGATTTTCTCATCGAATCTATACACCACAACATCCGGAACATCTTCGCTCAAAATCTCCTATCGCAAATCGGATATTGCGTTGACAAATTGTCAATGAGACAAACCCCTGCAAGTCTTGTAACCTTTGCTGGTAAAACATGCACTTATGCGTTCTTTTTTTGCCCCGGTGTTGCGGACATTCTTGTGCGACTGTGGACCACCAACCCCGATACTCTCCGAAGGGTTTTAAGTGGATTCAACGTGGACAGAAGCGCCAAGGCTGACGTTGAAACATCTGACCACATCGCGTCGTATTTCCCAGTAGCGCTGCGATCCTTATGCTTCAGGTCTCACGCCGCTACTGTCCGTTGTCTTCGGCGAAAGGCGCCTCCACCTCTGGGTGCGGCCAATGTTAATTGGTCAGGTCCATGGGTTTCCCGTTGGTCAGGGAGAGATACTGACCTTTTTTTCGTTTTTGCCAAGCATTTCCACATCTTGGTTGCGGAACTTTTACCCTCTGGATGCGAAAGGTCGAAATATGTCTTCGTTCCAGGACTTCTTTCGGTTCATGCGCAGATATTGACTGTTATGGAACATACTCTCAACAAACAGTCAACTGCTTCATCTGTGGATGATATTCATGGAATAACCTCAACAACATTTGAAGATTTCATCGATGGCACAGATGCTTCTGCTTCCGCCATACCATTGGGAACTGCAAATTCGCTGCGTGTCATGTCCGAAAATCGTCTCATTCTACTACTAAAGGACATTGTCACAGATCGGTCCCTTGAGTTATTTATAAAGCAAATGTTTGTGGAAAACTTTTGTGCAATCCTAAAGGTCGCCACCAAGAAACTGTCTCTCTTCGATCATAACGCATGCTTTGTTTTACTGGATTTCGTAGAGGAACTCGTTTCAGTTATCCCACCATATTGCGAATCAACCCAGCAACCAGACTTACTAGACTGGAAGTTTTGGTTAGATGTCTGCAAGCAAATGATGGAAAGTAACAACTCACTCACAGAAGTGAGGGCTTTCTCTTTCATTTATGCTACTTGGAATGAGATAAACAAGCTTGATGAGCGAAAAGAAGCGTTATGCTTGGGAATAATCTTGCACGAAACCTATTTCTACAGGTACTTTAATCATTGGAGCCCGATGGTACGCGCCTATTTCCACAGACTGCTATGCTGGCGGTTGGCCCGGTGTGAAGGAAAACCTTCTGCACAAGACTTGTAAGTAGTCGTGAAAAATCCCAAGTCACTGGATGGATGGGTGAGCTGATTGCTAAATGTCTTTTACCATCTAGACGTATATACAGTGCTCTGTTGGATAGGCTCACTGGGATCTGGAACTACTTCCTTCTCTGCCAATCAAAGGCTGAGAAGGATCTCATCCCGCCGCTATCGACTG